AAAAATTAGCTAGAGGGGAAAAATCTAATGAAAACGGAGGGGATCTCCATCAAAAAAAATTAATCTTACCACTAAAAGCAATATTGACTATATTTCAAATTCTCAATCAATTACAGAACTCACAAAAGGGTCCACCCAAACAACTGCTGAAAACCAAAAACACTGGGAAAAAATCATAAGCAAAATATGAAAAGCAGAAAAAAAAAAGTTGTTACAAATCGGCCAGTGTTATTTCAGGAAATTCACAATCTGAACATATCTAGTGCCCTTAACAGGGAATGAATTAGTAGGTTCTTAAATAATCAGAAAAAGGGGTCAAATATGTGGTGACAGAAGGAAATCTAACTGTGGGAGGTGAACATACAATGCAATATACATATGACTTCCTGTTGAACTGTACACTTGAAACTTACTGGATTTTCTTAACCAATGTCACCATAATAATAATTAAAAAATAATAATCAGAAAAATTAGCACTTCCTCTTTATTCCAAGGACTGCAAAACATGCTTAGAAATTTCAGATATTTGGCTTAAAGACAATGTATCTTTTTGTTGCTGGTAAGGAATGATCCCTCCCTTTGATATTTCAGTCTATAGCTACTTTTCAAAATTCAATCACTACAATTTCCCCTACAACATTATTCACTAATTCCTTTCAAAAGCAGTAATACAACAACAACTATCTTAAAATGCTGGCATTTTATTCTAATTACGCTGCTTTTTTGTCTCGAGTTTTTTTGTTCCGAACTGGTTTGACACATATATACAAACCAATCTGATTATTCTTATTTCCCCTTCTCTAATTTTCTCTAAATACTCAAGAGGTAAGATTTTAGTTACCATAACTAAAAAAAAAATTTGATTTTTGAACAGATAGCTGACACATACACATATACAAATAGCAAGGTTTATCCTAATAGCAATCCATCATCTGCCCATCGCCCAAAGCAATTAAAGTTTAAAACAGGACAATTCTTTTGTATAAACAGTTTAGAAACCATTCTCACAAACTCCTTATAAAAAAACTTATTTCAAGTTGCCTTATATTTGTACTATCTTTAACGTTGTTTTCCTAGCAAGTAAAAATCATCATCTTCTTTTTTGTGGTATGTAATTTTTCTCTACTAGTAGAAGAAAAACTCTGCTATGGGAAAGCTAACCGAAGGGGCCAAAACAGTGCTGGAATTTTCTTTTCTATAAACTACTTTCTGATTAAAAAATAAAAGAATCATACTATGAAAAAGAAATGTGACAAATTCCACTGGATTATATTACTACACTTGAAAAAGTTGACATTTACTGCACAATCTTTTCTAATAAAGACCACATAACGAGATTAAAAACAATTCTGAAAAAGTTCTTTCAGAAAACCATTAACCATGTGATTAAAAAGTCCCACTTCTTTCCTTGCATCACTAGATAATTCAGTAAATTATGCTATCTTTATCATTTGTGTACTCTCAACCTTTGAAATATACATATATCACTATCTTCAAAATATCAGGGATATTGCTACATTTTGTATAAGAATGAACATCTGCAGATTTTTCCTGTTATCTGAGGTAACATAAAAATTTTTAAATCTCAGAATGTGTTAACAGGTTTCATCCAATACATGCTATTCCAGTGGGATGAAAACCATTTACAAGTTCCACTTAGAGTAAGAAATCCTTTGAGAAAAGTATGTAGTACATTCTAGTTATTCTATTTCTAGAACACAAAAAATCTCTATAACCTATTTCCCCCTGTTTTTCTTTGGAACCAATTGAGCAGAATGTAACTTCCTTCGCAAAAAGTCAAGACAGTACTGTACTTAATGACAGAAAGCAAACTAAATTTTCAGCAGAGGCTGAAGTTTTCACAAATTAAAACTTTTTATTTGAGTTGGTCTATAAAAATAATATAACACTAAGTTAAAATAGATTCAATCAAGTATTATTTGCAGGCACAAAAATAAAAATAAAAAATAAAAAACATTAAAATGAAGAGTGTAGCTTTACCTTAAAACCAGAAGTTGGAAAGGAGAGAAAGGGAAGACTTCTAAAAATCATACTGCTTAAACTGAGAAGATATTTTTTCATTCTATCAAGTATGTAAAGTCATTTTTAAAATAAATATCCCCTAATGCAAGGAGTTCATCTTTAAGCAACACCCTCTTTCTTTTACACAGTAATGAGCTGCAGGTTATCATTAGTGCTCCCAAGTTAAGGTTGAGGGCATTACAAAACAATTTTCTTGCATTTTGCCATTTGCTTATAACTGTCTCATACTAATAATATTAAAGATTTGTCTACACTTTACGAAAACAAATTTTATATTACGTCAACTTTAAGTAATTCATGTTCAAAAACCTTTCTATAGAAATAATCTATTCATTTGAAAAATTCAACAATTGAACTTGGCATAAAGTATTTAAATCTATCAAAATAAAAAAACCCACAGAATTATGAAGCTGCAATGTTCATAATGTTACATCTACAAACTTAAAGCATACAAAAATATTTTGAAATCTCAGCTCCTTATTTCCTGTCAAAATGTCAAAGAACTTTAGATATCTTTAGATGAACTAAAGATCCCAAAGGGGATTCATTTTGACTTTAGAGTGCTGAAAGTAAGAATTTTATGATTGCAGGAAAAAAAGTATGGAGTAGAGAAATTACCTGAGAATATACTTACTGAGGCAAAAAAAAAAAAAACAACAACAACAAAACTTTACTAAAGATGTATTAAAATCATATACCCTCTTCTGCCAGACAAACAGTTCTCTCCCAAAACACACTGCTTTCAATTCACCCAAGTATGACTGCCAAGGGCTTCTAAACCTGTGTGTTAGGCTTGTTCAAAGTAGAAAGCTCCTCCATCAGTGTATCACAAAGAAAAATGAAATACATTTTTTACTTAAGAGTAAAGATCAATTGTATTAAACACATTCCTACCCATAAATTAAATGTAAGTAACAATTTTTTAAAAACCTCAAGTTATAACTTTGGACAGGTCTGCTATATATTGCTTCCCATTCTTAGAAGAGTAGGGATTTATTAAATTTCTCCAAACTTGGGCTTAAGTGGCGAAAAGGGAAAAGTTTTATAAAAAGCTTTTCTAACCTCAGTTTACATTTGACAAAACAAACTATTTATCACAATCGGGTAACTACAGGTAAAATATGTAAAAATCACAATAATGTGCAAAAGTGATTAAAAGGGTAACTGTATCTGTATTTACACTTGAGGTATTACTACTTTTGCAAATAAGAGGTACACTGCTGCATGAGATTGCTACTATGACTTTTAACATTTTCACATATACCTTAAGAACATAATGTCTTATTTATGTTTAAATTTGAGATGTATCTGATCTATGCAATCCTATTTGCTTTCTGGTGATTATTTTACAGGGGTCTGATTACAGCAAAGGCTCCTTCATCTCATTATGCCATCAGTCTGTATATTTCAATTTAGATTCCACCAAAACAATCATAAGCCATCTTACTTCTAGTTTTCTGCTTTTTAACGTAGATAATTGACAGTGAGTGCCACCAAATGCATGTATGTGCACATTGTCATTTCCTTCCATCAGCCCTCTTTTCTATAGAAAAAATGCAGAATTTAATTTTGGAGAAAAAAATATCTATTTTTATTTTGCATACATACCCGATTGGGTTTTCAAAAGAAAACCATTTAGACACCTACCATTCTAGAAAGGTTAAAGGAGATAACTTCCTGAATCCAAAATACTAAGCGAGTATGATATTAGCTAGAGAGGAAATTTCCACTCAAACCATATGTCATTAATTAATCTGAACAGCAATATAACTCACTTAGTCAATAATCAATTCTCAATAATGAAAGGAATCTGTAACCCACCTATAACCTGCACATAATCAAAATAACACTTGTATTTGCTTGTGGAATTCACGGGTGAGTTTGGTTGTGTGCCAGATTTATCTTATTTTGAAATGCTTAGGCCAATACATTTGTTAGTATAATCAGTGCCCACATTAAGTGACCTGGGGAAAGGCAATTCAGAAGAACGCACAGTAGCATGGATAAACCGGTCCAAAATGAAACGGAAAAACAAAACCCTTCCAACCGAGCGAATAATGCCCAGATCACTGAAAGCAAAATGAAAACGTCTCTCTCCTGAGTAGCCTAAATAAACGCTCTTCACTCAGAACGTTTAATAAGTACCCTACCTCACTTCATTCACTTCCCAACTTCTTGACTTTCCAGGGGCCAACGCGGGGCGCCCCGTTTTCTTCTGGAAGTATATGTTGAAAGAATCTGTATAGGAAAGAGGGAAGGAACAGACAATTCCCAAGAAAGCTGTGAACAGGTGGGACAGAACCAGCAGCAGCATAATCTAGATACTTAAGGGGCCGCTTTTAAAATGACAGATGTGGTTAAAGGCAAAGACTGCACATCGGCTGAAGCTCTACTGTGGCAGACTAGGGGCTGATGGCAAGCACGAGAAGGGGGCAAAGGCTAACTCCAGAATAGTAGCAGTGGAGCAAATAACAAGCAGCAGGACGAGTGGGCAATGAGCAGCGGGATTCATGAGCAGCAGCAGCAACACGGGTCAGAGTGGAAGTGATGGCTTTGGTCTTGGGAGACGGGGCCACTGGGAAAGGACGTCAGAGAGGGGAAACGGGGCTGTGAAAACAAGGAGTCCTGAGACCTAAGAATCCTGCCCCAACAAAAATGTAGGGGGGAGAGCTGAAGACGAAAAGCCGCCTCGGCTCCCCAATTGAAGAAATTTTCGAAGGAGCCAGCGCTCGCCGCCGCGCTGCCTTCTGCCCCGCTCCCTTTTCCTGGTGGTGACTGCTGTGGCGTAGAGGGGAGCGGGAGGAAGAGGAGCAGGAAGACCAAGAAAGAGGAGGGTGAAGATGAGGCGGGGGGTGGGGAAAGAGGGGGGTGCGGCCTGCACAATCCCAGCGAAGCCTCCGCTCTCTCGTAGCCGGTCACCCCGGGTTTCCCCTAAGCCCAGCCCCGCATAGACTCACCCGCCTGACTTGCCTCGCTTTTCCCTTAGCCGTCTCCACGCGCTGCCGCGTCCTCACAAGAGACCACTGGACGAGTGTCGGGGAAAAAACTCCTCAGAACCGGGCCTGATTGCTTCAGTGAGTCCGACCTTTACGGCTGAGAGAGAGACTCTCAGCTTTCGGTGGGTTCCACAGCCAGACGGGCCACCATCTTACATTAGGGTAAGACTCCTCCGGCTTCCCGTGCGCAGGCGCACGCCGATCCGGCAGGGAGGGGCGGGGGAGGGGCGGAAGGAGCGGAGGGCGGCTCCACCCGCGGCACCCTGGGAGTTGTAGTTTTCCGAGGGTAACCGCTCAGCTGCTAGCCGGGAGTTGAAGTTCTCACTCCTAGGGCAGATGGGATCGCACACCTCACGTGGCTGCTATAGACCACTGCCTTTCTTCATGTTTTGCTTCCTTCTCTACCCGCGTGTGCTGTTCCGCTGTCATTTGGTCGGCGCTCTTCGTTAGCGGTTGCGTTTCCTTGGTTTTGCTCAAATATGGGATACCAAAACTCGGGGCGAGCTTAACCAATTTGGGAGGAGCGGAGAATGTCTCTTCTCTGTCCCGCCCACTATAGAGATTAAAGGGGGCAGGGTAGAGGCAGGTTGGGAAGGTAGGAGGAGCGCAGGATCCGACCTAGGGTGAGAGTTTTGATACTGAATAGGCGTCTGTTTGCGAAAAGTGAGCGTTAACTCCTTTCCTGTGTTTGCGCATTTTGGAGTCGGCACCCTTGATGCCATCCTCACCATTAATCTCCACCGAAGACATATCCCAAATCGTCCTGCACAAGAGAACTGAAGACCCATGCACATACAAAAACGTGTTTCTGGTGATACAAATTTGAGAACATTATGCAGACTTTGGTGCCAGTTAGGTTTCCAGGCTGCACAGCCCTGCGCACGAAGTTTACAAAGTCCTCACACAGCAGGACATCCCAAAACCGTAAGAATGCACCCGCAATCCCTTTGAGCGCCAAGTCACAAAAATCATTTTCCTGGTTCCTCCCTCTTGCCTCCTAGAATTCTGGTGAAAGTGGCGCTCGGGACCAGTAGTTTTCATTTGTTGCGTGTGTTCTTCCATTCATACAACAAATGCTCGTTGAGCTCCTGTGTACCAGGCACTGCTATCTAAACATGGGAAGCTTTCGGTGAGCAAAACACAAAATTCCCTATTTCCATTCTAGGAATTCCTATATCTATTCTAACGTGTGTTGGGGTGAGGGAAAAGCGAGAGAAGGCGATTTTTAAAATATATGATTAAAATGCATAATATTTCATGAGTGATGGAAAAACTTTAAAACAGGGAAGGGGAATAGGAAAAAGGGTTGCAATTTTAAATCTGAGGACCTAATCTCATAGTGAGAAGCCTTCATTTCATTATTTTTTTAATACATTAGTTCTTTGTGTTTCAGTTTCTTCACCATCAAGCTTAGAGACAATTATTTGGTGAAAAACTTAAAAGGTAATAAATTCATAATTTACCATAAATTTCAAATTATAGGATCATAAAATTAGCAAGGAAACTTGAGAAATCATTTGGATTCACCTTTAGGTAACTGTCTAAATGTTCAGTATAGGAGACATGTATTTTTTTAAATGTGTGTTTTTTTTATATTACCGATTTTATAGTGGAACATAAACAAAGTAATGAAAAGAACAAAATAGAAAAAATCCTTTCCATTATTAAAGATTAGAAGCATCACATTAAGAACAAGGAGGATTCTTCCTTATCATTTAATTCAGTGGTTCATAGCTTTATTTATCCAAAACACCTTTTTTTGGTAAAAAGTATTTTCATAACATCTTCTTTATTAGCCTAAAATAAAATTCATAGATAGTATAACCTACCTACTTATATGATATTGTTTTAATCAAAATAATGCCTTATATAATATTAAAAGTACAAAGAAAGTAATTTATAACACGATAATTTGTGTTTCAATATATAAACGCTCAGGTATGACAGTTCTAGAAAATATAGAAAGCCATCACTTGCTGGCACTTATAAATAAAATCCCCATGAATGTGAAAGCTACAAATGCCAACTGACACAGGTATGATATTTTGGCCACCTCTGGTGGACAACACTAATCTGTCCTCAATGTCTGCCATAAATGCAGTCCTAACATTCCCTGTTAGAATATGTAAAAATAAAAAACAGCTTTGTGTTTGTATGTGAAATCGGTCAGCTTTTACATGCAGATCATTATATACAGTCTTTTCATTTACACCGGGGCATTTAAAACTCAGGAGGGACACAAACTAATTTTTCATGTGAGAAACAACAACAGTCCCACATTGCTTAATGGCCCCTGCTCTGTGATGGCCAGTATTACCTCTCAGATTATCTAACACTAGGGGGCAATACCACATCTACAGAGAGTCACTAATTGGTGGACACTAACAGCAAGGAAATGACATTTCCTAGGTCACCAACTAATTGACAGAGTCACTACCCCCTCAGGCCAATGTTCCTTTTACTATATTACCAATTTTTCATATATATATGTATGTGTGTATGCAATTTCATATAAATTTATCCATATAAGACAATTCTCATATCATTTTGAAAGTTAATGAATATTTAATTCTATCACCTAACTGCCTACTGATTCCTCATTGTAGGACAGCTATTCACTTAATAAATGTTTTTTACCTTTAAACATTATTCTAGGTTGCTGGTGGTGCAGAAAAACACTGTCTCTGTCCTCACAGAGTGTGGTGCCTACTGAAGGAGGCAGAGATGAAATAATCAGATATACAAATAAATACAAGGATATAAATATAACTTCTTATATATATAATTAGAACTGGTGATGAATACTATAAAGGTGTTTACGAGATGTTATGAGAACATTTAAGAGAGGAACCTAATTTAGTTTGGGGGAAGGGGAAGGAGGGTAGTCAGGGAAGATCTTTACAGGTTAATAAGAGTAGGAAATATGTGGGGACCATGAAATGGAAAAAAAAAAAAACTTACCAAAAGGCTAGTGTGGGTTATGGTGAGCAAGGGTAGAATGATGTAAAGTGAATTTAAAGAAGATAAAGGCCCAGACCATTCCAGAGCCTTGCAGGCCATGGTAGAAAATATAGATCATCCTCCATGGATTAAAGGAAAACCTTTGAAGGAAAGAGACATGATCAAGTTTGTATTTTAAAAGACCACGCTACTGAATGTCCATCACTGGGAAGATTATTAATTTAATTTTTTTGTAATTCCATTCTCTGGAGTGTTACACGGCTATATAAAAAGGAGAAAGGGAAAGAACTATATATTGACCTGAAAGAATGCCCATAATATATTATTAGGTAAGGAATAAGTAAATTATGACACGATATCTTATACATAATGTAATGCATTTTTTTAGAAATAAAAAAGAGCCAATCAAAAATATTTGAATATATTTATGTATAGCACAGAAAACAGAATGGGAGGATACAAACACATCAAATATTTAGTGCGTGGTAGGTTATCTTGGGGGATTGCAATTGGAAAAAGGGGGAGGAAAAGTATAACTTTTTCTTTATAAATTGCTGTATAGATTTATTGTTTTGCATATGATTTAGTTTTATACATTTTTTTAAAATAAATCACTCTGCAGTGTAGAGAATGGATAGGAGAAAAGAATGAAAATGGAACAGCGAATTAAGAGAACATTTTAGTTACCCAGATACTGGTTCTCATTATGGTAGCAGTAAAGATAGAAAAGAGGCGATGAATTCAAGATATATTTCTTGAGATTGAAACAATAGGACTTGGTGATGAACTAGATAATGGAGATATTCTCATGAATGGCTCTCAGATTTTCTGACTTAAATGGCCTTGTCGATGGTGGTTCTTTTAGTAAAAGGAGAATGGTGAGTATCGACATAGTATCTGTAGAGAGTAGGAGAATAGCTTCAACATAAAAAAACAGATTTCAGGGAAATAATGATTGTCCATTTGAGACTGTTGAACTTAAAGATCACGGCTATTGTATTTTGCCCAACTTAGTGATTTTTCTCCAATAATGCTTATCTTTTGGGTTCTGCCATAGGAGCAATGTATAGTTGAGCTTATCTCGGCTAGAGAAGGAGGATGAAACCAGGGAAGATGAATGAACAACCAACACTATGAGTTGTTTCCCGTTTTTTCAACCTTGAAATATTATTAATATATGGATATTTTTAATAAAATTTTCAAGTTATTATTGGGATATAGTCTCAAATATAGACCTAATGGGCCAAAGGAAACGATCAGTTTTATGAGCCTTGTTATGGCTAGACTAATATTTAGTTAATATTAATGAATATTAATGCCACTGTATTTGTGGGGCTTTTTTCCAAAACCCCATTTACTTTGAGTTTTATCTTTTTTTAAAATTTTAATTATTTAGTGAGTATTTGAGTGCTAAGTGTTGAGTAGATGGTAGTATGCAAAGCACTAAGATCCCTCAAAGATCTTAGGGCTTAAAAAGGAAGACAGAAAACAAGTAAACAAAATAATAAGCAATAATAAGCAAGTAAAACCCTATATGTTGTCAGACTATTAGGAAGGAAAAGGAACAGAGTAATAGAAATATCAGGAAGGGATTTACTTTAGATTGGAAAGCCTCTCTAAAGGGTTAACTTAATCTGAAATTTAAAGGATTAGAAAGGATCATCCATTTAAAGAATGGCCTATGCCAAGCCTCTGATGCAGGAATGAGTTCAGCATATTCCAGGAATGGAAAGTTAGCCAGTGAAGTTGGGGTATACGAAAGCAGAGTGATAGGTAAGGAGGTGAGGCAAAATCCAGATTATGCAGGGTTTTACATGGAATTTGGATTTTATTCTAAGTAGGTTAAGAGACAGTTTCACAAGCTGGAAGCAGAAGAGCGACATAAAGCAATTTATCTTTTCAAAAGATCAGGGTAGCTTCCATATGATCAGTGGATCAAAGATAGACGACAAACCTAGAAGTGGAGAGACCAGTTAGGAAGCTATTGCAGGAAGTGCAGCCTGGAGATAATGAATGGCTTAGACGAGGGCAGGGCTAGGAATTGGGCAGGGCTGGGACTAGGACAAGCAACTAGGATGAGGTAAGGAACGCATTCGCCTTGGGCACAAAATTTAAGCAAGCACAAAAGGTGCAGTAATAAAGGTAAATAACATTTTGATATAACATTTTTAAAAATCAAAATTATTGCAAAAAAATCTATGATGAACAAATGTTTAAATATAAAATAAAGACAAGATTA